GTCTCTGCTCAGTCTCTGCTCAGTCTCTGTTCAGTCTAATGCATTAAAGCTTGTCTGCAGAAGAATCCGAATGTCCTGCGTGTATTTCTTGCTGGCGAGGAATACAGAGCGGGCGCGGGACACCTGACCTAGCATCAGAACTGAGACCGCTTTTAGGTGGGGAATCCTGGAGCAGGGAAGACATCTCACAGAGGATCAGCTGCAGGGTTCTGGGTCTACTAAGATTAATGTGGAATTGGGGGTTGGCAGGGTGTTTTGGTCTGTGGGACAGCTCTGGGAAGCTGGGAAGCTAGAACAGGCAGAGGGTAGTAGTGTTGTCGCTAGACATGGAGACCGCTCTCCTTTCTCCTTTGCATGGCCAGGCAGGTGTGTCTTTTGATGACGATTGTCAACAAGCTTGTCCATTTATCATTATCATAGTTTCACAAGTTAGCGTGCATTCCCACAGCAAGAAGAACATGCTGCTAGTTACTAGTTTTTCTAGGGCAGAGTGCTGTACGAAATGCTGTATGTGAATGACTCCACTTCATATGAGAAGTGCTATTATTGTCACCTTGTTATACATGGGGGATAAGGTGAGTGAGGTTCAAAGAGCCTGGGGCAACTCATGTAAGAACAAAGCATAAGAAGTGAGGGGCCCGTAGGGATGGCTCTGTCCATGAAGTGCTTGCTACACAGCGTGAGCATCTGAGATCTGATCCCAAGCATCAGTGTAAAAACCAGGAGAGGCTGGAGAGATGTCTCAGTGGTTAAGAGTGTTTGTTTGCTATTCCAGAAGACCCAAAGTTTGGTCCCCAGCCCTTGGGTCAAGTGCCCAACAACTGCCTGTCGCTCCAGCTTTAGGGGACTGTTTTTTAACACTTTCCTCCAAGATTAAAACTTTCCATCCTGCAGGAAGCTCCTTAAACAGGAAGGTAAACAAACTCAAAATAACTTCAGGAAGTCCCTGAAACTGACCAGATTCCCTAGTTAGCTTCCTGTAAGAGTAAACACTAAGAGCTGAGAATGACCCTTGGATAGAAGGAAGCTGAGCTGCCAAGAGGACTCTGAGACCAGACCAGCTGCCTGGAAAAGCAGAAACCAGCTGAGCTGCCTGGATGAGATTTAGACCATGGCACCTGGGAAAGACATACTCCAGTCTGCTGAGTTGCCTGCTGAAGGGACCAGGGCCAGTTTGCTAAGACCCCTGCCATATATCACCCCACCATCCTATGTTGACTCATGTCTGGCTTCCATCAGACCCTCAGGAAGTACATTCAGTCTGGTGGCCAATCAGAGTCCTACCTGGCCACAAACAGGAACTGTTCTTGCTATCTTCAGTCAAATAGACCCCTTACACTGCAAACAGCTGCCTAACACTGCAGCCACAGCTGCTGACAAGATGTCATGAGCCAATCACAACATGACTCCTATACCAGGAAGGTTCTACACTCACTCATTTCAAGGTACACTAACACACCTGGAATTTCCCTAAGTGAGCTTAAAAGGGACTGTCTTACCCTCTCCCAGGGTTGACACCATTTTGTGTGGACCCCAGCATGCTGGTTTTTCTGCCTCAAGGATAAAACTGCTTTCTGCAATTTCATATCGGTTGTCTTCTGGTCATTTGGAGCTATCTAAAGACTCTAAACCTGCAGGCTGTGCAGTGAGCTCCAGGTTCCCAGCTTTGTGAGCTGTCACCCATGCTAGGGTGGGTTTTGATGATACAGCTGTCTTTGAGTTATTTCTGCTCCTGTAAGTAACCCCTCACCCATGTTCCTGTAAGAAACTACAATAAAAGTCATCTGTTCACCCAATTGGACTTTGGTGGTATTCGTACTTTGGTCGGTCATGAGTTCTTTATCTGAGGTGAGTAGACAATTGTGTTATATCTCCCCAAAAGAAGTTCTGTCATACAACAGGGATCTGACCCCGGAATATCCCCACACCCCTTTGGCCTACAGAAACAAACACAGGAATACACATTTTTTTTTTTTAAGCCAGAAAAGGTGATATGCACCTGTAATCCCAGCGAAGGGAGCAGAGACAGGAGGATTTCTGGAGCACACTGGCCAGTTAGTCTAGTTGATTGGAAAGCACCAAGCTCAGTGAAGAGACATTGTCTCAAGCAGTAAGGTGGAAGCTATTGAGGTGATACCCAACATTGACCTTTGGCCTCTACCCTAATGTGCACACCCACGCATGGATATCTACACATATTCACATACATACACACAAACACATAAGAAAAGGTAGGGTTGAAATTAAATTAAAAATCAGATGAACAACCATCTCTGTAATCAGGCATGTGAAAATCCTTTTGTTTTTCTTTTGTGATGTTAAGGATCAAATCCAGCCTCACACGAGCTAGACATGTACTAAACCCCTGAGCTACATCTCCATACCAAACTCCTCTCAACCCTCACTATGTAGCTCAGGGCTGGCCTAGAACTCGTACAATCCTCCTGCCTCAGTCTCCACAAGTACTGGGTTTATAGCCACCACTGACTATACTGGCAAAATTTCCAATTGCTAATATTGGGCCAGATTCAGAGCACACCATCTTGGGCTAAGCTCTCTCTCTCTCTCTCTCTCTCTCTCTCTCTCTCTATATATATATATATATATATATATATATTCTGAAAATTTCATATACTTGCTCAATATATTTTGACTATTTTCACCCCTACTCCTTCATGTAACTCTTCTAAGACTCACCCTGACCCCCTTCCAACTTCATGTCTTTTACTTTTATCTTTTTACCCACAGAGTCCAATTTGTACTGCTCATACACTCATGGGTATGGGGCCTCCACTCATTCAGGGTTGACCTACCAGAGACAATGCACTTAAGGAAAACGGATTTCTCCTGCCCAGCAGCCACCAACATTCACTCAGTTAGGGGTGGAGCCTTGTGAGCACCTTCCCTACAGCTTCTTATAAACAAGAGCACCTCTCTGGCCTGTCTCTCTGACATATGCATCCTAGAGATTCTTCTGCAGTGGAAGACATTAGAATAGTTAGAACTGCATTGGCAAGAATAGCAAAAATGGTGTCAGTGGAATAGGTAGAAAAGAAGTCATGCCTTCTCTTTCTTCCTTTTTTTTTAAACATACAGAATTTAATACAAAGAATTGTTAAGTAAGTATAAAGTTAACTGAGCAGATGAGAAGTTCTAAAAATAATTTCAAACTAGCAATTACAGGGAGAATTTACCACCCCCAGTGCTGGGGGAACAAGGAAGCTGAAGGATTAAAATTCAAACCACACAGACAGGAGCCCTGTAGGCCTGGCCTGCAGACATCTAAGAAGAGGCTCTGAGCCTAGAGGGTGCCTCTAAGCTGGGCCCTGGACCTATACAGAGCTTGTGCCACTTGCTCTATAGTGAAGATCACTGTTGGGTGACACCAAGAGTTGCAAAAAGCCTACAAGATACTGCAGGGGACAAAGGAGCCAGTCCCTCCTTTCATCTCTTGCCCTGGGATCTAACCCTACACTGCTTACTGGCAAAGATCAATCTAGCCTAAAAGAAATCAAACTGCACCCTTGAAGTATGGTTGGCAGGTAGTCATCCCAGGGAAGAATTGTGGGTGGCTTTGTTGAGTCACATGCCCATGAATTAAGCTAATCATGAATCATGATGTTTGAGCCAACATGAGTTATAGTTGACTAGGCCTGGTTACCTGTGGTTGCAACAGGGCCTGTTGTTATCAGATAAAGGGGGCCGGGAAGGTCTGCTGGGAACACAGAAAATAGCCAGGAAGTCACTACAGGTATTCTGATTTTTCACCAAGGCAATATTAGGCAGACATCTTTGTACATCACAATCTTTAACAATTATACTGTGAAAATTTCCTAAAATATAGGTTATCACTCATGGTGATAACTTTCTAGAAACTATGTAACAGAGTTGTACGTTTGAAGCATGTATGCATCCAATAATTTATCACACACACACACACACACAGAGGTAAGTGACAGAGGCAGTTAAGAAGTAACAGATCCAAGGACACACAGCAGACACAAAATTTATACTTGTGGTGGGAGGGTTTTGATGAGTATCCTCTTTGGCCGGTTAAGGAAGGGAGCTCCGCCTGCTCTCTTCCCTTTGGAGAAGCTGGGCCAATTCCCTCGACACAGGCTGACAGCTCCTGCCTTCTGAGCCCAGTCTAGCTCGGAAAGGTGATGTGTTTCTGCTGGGCCTGGTATCCTCCCAGTGGGTGCTTTCGGCCCGAAGTTCCTCCAGGAGGCTCTGCAGGTGCCTCAGTGAGAGCAGCAGCTGCTGGTCTTGGATCTGCATCTCAGCCTAGGAGAGATGAGGCATTGATGGGAGTGAGACAGGCACAGTCTGTGTTCATTTAGCCCCGTGCCCATCACTGTCTCAGTGGAGTCAAGCCCCTACATCCTCACACAAGCCACAGATAACATATTCCCTTGAAGCCTCAGTTTGAATCCAGGAAGTGAGAGGACATTACTTACCTTCCCAAGACTCTAATGAGGACAGGGTGCATTGGAAGACATGCTCTGAAGTGTGACACAGATACCACGACTGTATCCTTTAATCTTCATGGTAACAAACAAACCATCCGTGTTCTCTAGAGGAACACACTAACAGAATATCTATCTATCTATCTATCTATCTATCTATCTATCTATCTATCTTAAGAATGGTTTACAGGCTGTGGTCCAACTAGCCCAAAAGTCTCTATCTACCAACAGAAAGTCCAAGAATCCAGTAGTTGTTCAGTCCATAAGGCTGGATGTCTCAGCTGGTCTTCAGCACATGCCAGAATCCTGAAGAAGTAGTCTCTAATGCCAGTGAAGGAATGGATTTTGCAGTGATAGTGAGAGCAAGTTTCTTTCTTCCATGCCCTTTATATAAACTGCCAGAAGTGTGGCCCAGATTAAAGGTGTGTCTTCCCACCTCAAAAGATCTGGATTAAAAGCTGTCTTCTCACTTTGAGTGAATTAGTTAAGAACAAATCGCTCACAGGAAAACCCAGCCCCTTGGGTTTTAGTTAATTCCAGATGTGGTCAAGTTGACAACCAAGAATAGTCATCACAATTATTAACATGCTAGTGGCTTCTGTCATTAACAGTGAAGTGAAGCCAACCCTGCATCTGGAGCAGATTTAGAAGTGCAAGGCTTGGGGACACCTAGGTTCCCAAAACCTTCTCAGGGGATCAGCAGTGTCAAAACAACTTGCTCTACAATAAGATAAAATTTCCCCTTTTGCTTTCATTATCTTATTAGCACACAGCTGGGTTTTTCAGAAGCCAATGACATGCAATACCTCATTGAATACAGAAATAGGAAGGAGGACATTAGTGTCATCCACCTCTAAACCTCTCATCTTCTTTCAGAAAACTTTTCCTATACTTTGCACCCTATTTTAACATGTTAAATTTTATTTTGTGCTGAAGTAACTTTTGCAACATACATTGAAAAGCCACAAAAGGGCGAGTGTCCCTCAGTATTCAAGGAGGATGGCTCCAGGATCCATCCCTGTGGATACCAAGATCTGAGGGTATCCAAACACCTTACAGAAACTGGCACCATGTTTTAACATGCCCTGTATGAGCCTCCTGTGTGCTTTAGGTCATTGCTAGATGACCTGTGTCTTAGGTTTCTATTGCTTTAATAAAGACCATGCTTCACCCTCCTCCTGAGGTGAGTCTAGGCTCTCCTCTGGCCCCAGCTCCCTCCACAAACCCCTCCTCCTTCTTCCTGAGCCTGGCCCTCCACAAGAGTGGACCTGCCCAGACAGGAAGGCCCACCCTGAGTCTGGACATACCTTGTCCTTGTCCCCCTTCTGCCCTCTTCCCTCTGCCTGCTGCCTGAGGTGAGTCTGGGCTCTGCTCTGGCCCCAACTTCCCTCATTCCCCCCCTCATCTTCCTGAGTTTGCCCCTCGACAGGAGTGGACCTGTCCAGACAGGAAAGACACACCTTACTCTTGGTCCCCCCTCCGCCCTCCGCCCTTTGCTTGAAGAGACTAAAAGAGAGGGAAAGACATCTGTAGGGGAAGCTGTAGCCACGCCTTCTTAGGGGCTGGCTACAGGTGTGCCTGACCACGCTTGTGAGGGCGTGGTCAGAGTGACGTAGTGTGACTGCGTTTGCGGTTTCGGTTTCTCTTTGCTTCTTGCTGTACAGGCTGCTGCCACCGGCTGGCTAGGTCGCTCTGTAAGTAAGGCTTTTCCCTATTAAATACCCTTATATTTCTACCTGACTCCGTATTGGTAATTTCCCACTATAGACATCACCTGTACCCACTGGAAGAAAGGATGGGAAGACGGCAGAGTAAGAACACACTCAACAACAGAAAGACCAATATGACACCACCAGAATCTAGGGACTCCACACCAGCAAGATCTGAAAAGCCCAACACAGAGGATGAAGAAGAGATGGACCTCAAAAATTATCTTATGAAGATGATAGAGACTATTAAAGAGGAAACAAGAAAATCCCTTGAAGAAACAGAAGAAAAAACAAGCAAAAAATTACATAAAATGGAGGAAAAGACAAACCAAAAAATTCAAGAAATAAACAAATCTCTTAAAGAATCTAAAGAAAACCAAGAAAAAACAACCAAACAAGTGAAGGAAGCTCTTGAAACAGTTCAAAGCATGAAAGCTGAAATAGACACAATAAAGAAAACACAGAA